TCTTCTTCTCTTCTTTTCTTTTTTTTTTTTTTTTTCTTTTTTCTTCTTCCATTGGTTCCCATAAAAAGTATCGTACCTTAAAGATTCTAAGGGATATAACGTAGATCATAGAATACATTTCAATCGTTTTGAGTACCATCGTCGTACTAATTTTAGAACGTATTTAATTTTAAAACGTTCAATTAATATTATCGCCATTAAAAATCGAAAATCGTACATCGGTAAATCGTAAGATTGCGTGATATTTAATTAATAATATTATGCAAGAGAACGAAAGAAAAAGACAGAGAGTGAGAGAGAGAGAGAGAGAGAGAGAGAGAGAGAGAGAGAGAGAAAGAAGATAGATCTACGAAATGAACGAAAAGTAGAATGATATTAAATAATAATTTATTGATCAATCCATGATGGATATTTGTAATGAGAAATTTAGATAGAAGCTAAACATGAATCATTATAGAAAATATTGATTAATGATACTTGGTTATCATTTTTTATATATATATATATATATATATATATATATTTTTTTTTTTTTCATTAAACAATCGTTTCTCTTTTCAGATTACTCGAGGTTAAACCAAGTCGTCGATTTTCTGATTTTCACCAGAGGTGAGTAAAATTTTCGAATAATTCAAGATATTATTTTGCGTTAATAATACTGAAAGTAGATTGTCGAGAGAAAACGTTATCCGTCGGAAGTGACTTAATACGAGTGTAACAGATTCCTCAACATTTATGATAGAATAAAATGATAATGCGTCAAAGAAATAGGTTGAATTTGCAAGAAATTGGCTATAATACGGTAATAAACCATTCCAGTAAATATTCTTTCAATGTAACTATCAGCTTTCCAATCGACAACTATGAGAAACAAACGCGAGAATATCTTACGTATATATACATATACGTATAATATTTGTATCATTTTCTAAGAAATCACCATTGCGATTTAAATTGACGATATAAGAATGACGAATGTTCAATGACCAGTGTCATTTATTTCACCTTATTATCGGGACGTGAGATTGTCATTACATTGAACGGAGTAACGAAATATACGTATAATCAAATAATAACAGAGATCAAAAGATAGCGAGACAAACGATTGAGAAATATTTTCATAATGAGAAGCAAACTTTAAGAATTTTTATTTTGATTATATTCTTGGAATTTTATTAAATACAATAATATGTCTACGATCTATACGATGTATTCATATCTTTTTTTAACAACTACTCTGATTATACTAATTGTATACAATTTCTTTCTCTCTCTCTCTCTCTCTCTCTCTCTCTCTCTCTTTCTCTCTCTCTCTCTCTTTCAAGAAAACGTGCTACATAAGTTAAGTACGAAGACATATCACGTTGGAAATAAATTCCCTCTTCATTTCATTGACAAGCTCCGTAAACGTCTATAAGGCTGATTACTCAGTTAGATGTAAAGCGTTAAAAAAAGAAAGAAAAAGAAAAAGAAAAAGAAATACCAAATGCAATATAAAATTTATTACTTCCTTAAAAGGGCAGTTCATAAAAGGATTATAAGGAGAATGGGGGAGGTAAAAAGTAACGCGGCATTATAAATTCACTCCTCCTTCGAATAATTTAACGAACGACGTTGCCGAGAATGTGATGGCGGCCGTGGTTAACATAGGAAAGGTGGCAATAGTGATGACGGTGGTGGTAGTGACGGGGAGACGGCGGCTACTTTCGAAACACAAACCAAGAACGCGGTACTTTGCACTTTGCGACACACCCTGTGCCGTTAATTCGTTACTTTACTTCACCCTTTACCGTGAGCAGCCACGATTTTCGCGGCAATTTATAGTAGCCGATATCGTCGATGACCATTTGTATTCGCGAACGAGCCCGACCTTCTCCCTCTCCCTCTTTCAATCTCCCCTGCCCCCATCCCGCCCTCCGGCCACCTCCCCCCCCTCTCTCTCTCTCTTTTTCTCTTTCTTTCCCTCTTTCTCCATCTCATTTTACTTCTTCCCTTTCTCTTTTCTTATCTCGTTTATTTCTTTTTTTTTTCTTTTTTTTTTTGTCTTTTTCTTTTCTTCTTAATTCTTTTTTTCTTTTCTTCCTTTCTTTTCGGAGTTTTTTCTTTTCTTTACTTTCTTTCTATCTTTCTTCCATACTTTTTTTTTTTTCTTTCTCGCAGGCGATCCCGAAAGACGAAAAATGTCCAATGACCATCTCTCCTCGGCTTCGAACGAACACACTCGCACCCCGCGACAACGCGATCCGGTACACCTTTTTATGGTTCGCTCGACGCGCGCATGCACTTTACGCTTCGCCTCAAGCTCGATACCTATCTCTTGTCGCACGCGAATGTGAAATAAGAAAAAGAGAGAAAGTAGAAGAGACAGGTGAAAATTAATTAAACGGGGACTCGTACATTCGCCATTAATTTCAAGTTTTATCGCGGTAAAAACGATTACTATTACATTTTATTTCGAATTAATTAACGATCCCCAAGGACACTCGTTGTGATGTCCCCACATGAGAATTATCTATGAACTATTCGACTATTAAATGCCATTGAAATTTTTTAATCCTACGCTTTGTCTTTTCGTTTCATTTCTTTTACTCTTCCTTTTTTTTTTGCCTTTTTTCTTTTATTATTATTATTATTATTATTATTATTATTATTATTATTATTATTATTATTATTATTATTATTATTATTATAATTAATCTTAAATTCGAACGAGAAAGAAAAAGAGAGAGAAAGAGAGAGAGAGAGAGAAATAATAAGCAATAGACAGTGTCCTCAATTACGTTTTCATTAAGAGAAAAAATAAAAAAAAAAGGAGAAAGAAAGAAAGAAAGAAAGAAGGAAAGAAAGAAAAGAAAACAGAGAAAAAAGAAAACAGATACCTAATCTATGCAACGATAATTACGTGAAATCGAATTTTTATTGGAATTCCGTGTTTCTTTGCTCGTTTATATACTGACGTTTTCGCTCGAAAAGACCTCGGGGAGCGATCGTTAATTAGCTTACCACCTTCCAAGCAAGAGAATTTATTATCGTCTCACTTCATTCTTAATACCGCGAAATCCGTTAAGTTGTTATAAGTTTAAATCGTTAAGCTTAAATTATAGCCTGTATATAACAGAATCGCAATCAAGGCACACGGTTTCGTCTTCGCGGGTATGTACCGACGTGGTGTTCGGCCAGATACTTATACGTATGACAAATATTTTTATTATTATTTTATAGATATATAGGTATATATATATATATATATATATATATATATGTTCAAAAAAAAAATGCTCAAGCAAGGGGCGAGTTTATACTTTTGAGAAGAACAATATATGCCGTCGAATAATAAATATCGTGCTTTCTTTCATCATTTCTATTTGCGTAGAAGAAAAAGAAAAAAAAAAAGAAAAGAAAAAAAAGAAACCAAACGAACAAACAAACAAAAATAAAAAACAAAAACAAAGCCAAGGAAAGAAGAATGCAAAGATCCTAAGTAAGGAAAGAGCAATAAACAGAAAAAAAAAAAAAACAAAACAAAAAAAAAACAAAAAGCGTACCTTCCGTAAGAAACATTTGTTCGAAAATTAATTTTCGATTTCTATTTCTTTTCTTTTTCTTTTCTTTTGCCTTTTTTTTCTCTATTCTTTTTTTCTTTTTCTTTTCTTTTTTTTCCTTTCTTTTTTTTTTTTTTTTTTTTTCGTTTTGTTCTTTCTCTCTCCCGTGAATAATAAAATACGTGCCGCGAATTGGTGTTCGATTGATTGAAATTTCGCAGCACTTGTGTCACTCGCGTGCGCAAAATTTTAACCGTATATATAGAAATTCGAAAGAATTAATTCGTGCATCATATTATAAAACAAACATTCGATGGTTACATATCGGTTAGACGAAGAAAGTCTTTCGAACACTAAAAGAGACGCGGATGCTGCATTTTCTTTGCCATGGTTTCTCCCATGATGGCTGACTACACGGCGCCACCCTTCTCTCCGACTCTTCTATACAGGCATCGCCCGTTTGTAACACGCCTCTCTTTCTCTCTTTTTCTTTCTCTCTTCATTTCCCTCTCTCTCTCTCTCTCTCTCTCTCTCTCTTTCTCTCTTTCTTGCTCCCTCTCGAGCAAGCTAGAACTACGGTCCAGAAGGACCTACCTAACTTGACCTAACTCTTACTTAAGCTCCGTTTCGTACGATGCGGCCATGTTGCTCCGAGGGTTGGGCCACCAAAAGAGGACGACGACTCATTGGCCGACAAGAGAGACAGAGATGAGAGACTTCTCTTGTGTTAGAACGAGAGAGAGAGAGAGAGAGAGAGAGAGAGAGTGAAACACATTTTTTTCTCTTCGTCTCTTTTTCTTTCTCCGTCGGCATTTCTTCTTTAATCCCCTTTTCTATATATATATATATATATATGTATATGTATATATATATATATATTTTTTTTTCCTTTTCTTTTATCTTCATCTTCCTTCTAACAATGTCCCTTTCTTTCTTTCGCGTTATATCCTTCTCTACCAAGAACCCATTTATATACCATAGGCTTTTAAAATAATTACATTGTTTTAAGTGCCTCGATATATACCGACACATTTTTATAGATACAACTACAAACTCCCGAAATATTCGTGTATTATCGTCAAGATGTAACACGTTTCTACGTTCAATTAGAAAATTTAAATTGACAATTAATATATAAATCAATGGGAAAATTTTTTGATAATTAAGAATTCAAAGGATAAAAATTAATTCGATATTTATATCGATTGTTTCGTTCATCGATCAATGACATTAGAAAGAATCCTCTTTATTATATATGTACGATGTAGATAGGAAATAGTACGCGTTAAGTATGTGTAAGTGGATGAAAGAAAAGATAAAAGATAAACAAGTAATCAGCTGTTATTAGATATTAGGAAAAGTCTTGAATGAGAACGATTAGGTACGTGTTAATATCTTAATAAGATATGATCGTGTCTTTTTTTTTTTTTTTTTTTTTTTTTTTTTTAATCGACTCACCTTGCAACATCCATTGACACTCGTATTTATTTTTCAAGGATACGGATAAACATGAGAACTCGACGATAAAACACTAGTTCGTTCGTTCACGCGTACGAGCAAACTGAAACAACATCGTAGTTTATACGTAAGAACGACAAAACATACATTCGTACTTATCCCTTCTCCGACAAATTTTTTTCTCCCCCAACTTTCTAAACTTTTACCCCTTTTTATCGATGGAGAGGGGAAGAATTTTTAACTTTCTCCAACCCTTTTGCCGAATATTACCTACTAGCGACCTTTTTACCCCATTTAAAGAAGGTAACTAAAGAACGAACTTTCTCCTTCAATCATATTCTTCTTCGTTCGTGTCGTTAAAATGAGCTTTTATTCTTTTTACTTTTCTTTTTTTTTTTCTTTTTTTTTTTGTTTCTTTTTTTTCTCGCAAACGTCGTCAAGAAAAAAAAATGTCAAAAAATTCCTACCCCCACGGTACATCACTAATTTTCCGTTCACGTTGTCTCTGTATGCTTTCCAAAAAAAAAAAAAAAAATAAAAAAAAAATAAAAAAAATAAAAAAAAAAATAAAAAAAAAATAAAAAATAAAAAAAGAAACAATTGTCAGAAACAGTGTGTAGCGTAACTTCACTAAAGTGCACACAGATCCGTTCGAATTGGTCGCGTCGGTAAAGAGAGTACGGTCGGTACGATGATTATTTGCTTGTTTGTTCGATCAAATAATCTTGCTTTTCTATCTCGATCGATTTCACAAAATTATTTTTCCTATCGTCTTATTAAAACATATAACGTCGAGATATTAAGTAATATACACGTTCTGTATCACTCTACGTTTATTCTAACGAAGAACGACTATGTCTTTTTATACGCTAATGTTCGTTAGGAGTAACTGTATGACGTAAGGGCGATTAGGATTACGTAATCGTAGGTCGACGATTAGATGATAGCTATTATGGAACCCAACCATATCTCTAATTTAACAGTCTGCTATAACTACGGCAAGAATCATTTTGATTCGTCAACGGATGGATCTCGTTCTGGATTGAGTTTGCCTTGGGAAAATGTTTCTAATGCACGAACGCATTTCTCAAATCGATTATTCAAATCTTCGCAATGGGTATGTTAAAACGAATTGAAACAGAACCTTTCAATTTAACGTAGAATTTATTCAAATATTTATCATCATTAATCACGCATGTGTTTCGCTGAAATCGTCATATTTAAGTACGTACGTACGTATACGTCGATATTTATTACAATTGTCATTCGATAAGAATTAATTCATGTTCATGTTTTGTTTAATTGATAAAAGAAAGGTCATACGAATGCAAAAAAAATAATAATATTATCACGGAC